GATCTTCTAAAAACAAAAGCAAAAACAAACCAAACAAAAACAAACAAAAAAACCCAGGAAAATATAATGCATAGGTTTGGGAGCATATGTACACAACAAGCCTGAAAAATTAATCTAAATTACCTAATATGAACTAGTGAACAGCACTAAAATAAATCAAGACAATGTTAACTCTTAAGTAAAAGCATCCCTTCAAAAGCTTAATGTAATTTTCATTTAAAAAGTGAATTAAAGTAACTGTTCTTAGAGTCTCTTTATAAGTATAAGCCTCTTGTTTCCACTACATCAATGCACATGCCAGAGGTACATTAATAAAGCCCTCAGTCTATTAATATTACTTCCTTGTATTATTTATTCTCATCTTGAAAAGTTTTATTAAAAGGCTTAAAGTCTGTCTAAAAGTCTGAAGCTGTCAGCCTTTGTTCCAAAATGAAAGAACGGAGCTGGTGCTCTCAGCTCTGTCTGGAGCAGCTGCTCTGCACAGACCATCGGGGGGGGTGGTCAAATGTGAACTAAATAGTCTCAGAATGCAGCTCATTTCCCTCACAACTGTTCCTGCATGCCTGAGAGATGTGACTTGCTTCTTAGATGTGGCTCCTTCCCCATTAGGTTGAAGAAACATTATTTTCTGAATGAACTGCAAAACTGTACTACAACCAAAAGCCATCCCGTGGCTGCCACTTAAAAGACTGCGTACGTGTAGCTCCTGGCCTAGGGTCCATCAGCCACAGCTCCCTGCAAATCCATCCAGCTTGTTGGCCACTGCCAAGTTGCAGGAATTATTCTGCTGGCAGGAGCCCATCCCTGGTTATCACCTGCACTGGGGCCCCCCCAGCTCCTTCCCCTTACACACCAGTTTCCTTGCCACATACCGTGGTGCAAGCGTCACTTCATGGGAAGGGGTTGTGGTGAAAAATAAATAAATACCATGTGTATGTATTACTTATTAAGCAAATATATTGCAAAATCAGACTCCTTTTTCCTGCTAATACACAGCATCACTTCCATGGCACTTGGCAACGTTCAATTATTATAATAACATTCATTCAGTTCATTCAAGATTGGATGGAGGTCTTAAGAATCAAAACACCAGTGCTGGAGAAGAGGGACCTTATCTTCATGTAAGTAACAAAAGACACTGGCACATATGGCACTATATAAATGAATCATGATTCTGACATATAATAAAGTGCATAGAAACACTGTGTCAGTTTCCTATGGAAGAAAAGGATACATAAATACTCATATCCTAGCAATTAAAAAAGAAAAAAGAAAACAAGTGCCAGTGCCAAGTCACCTGAACTTGAAACTTGGAATCAGATTTATGAAGCACACTTCCAAAAATAGAACAAGAATGTTATATAGGAAGTGTGCCCACCAGCCAGAAGAAACACTGCCATCAAAGCTGACAACACAGCTGGTAAAGGGAAAGGATTAAGGAGGCTCACATTATAATTTTTCTTTATAACACTAGAATAAGGACCCAGTTAGCATTTCATGTCTGTTTCCCAAAGACTCAATCAGCAACAAATGGCAAAGGAGGACCAGTCCCTTCTCCCTTTTATTGAACTACTACATAACTTACCTATTAAAATGAATAATGTCAAGCAGAGAGGCAATAACAACACATGCAGGGACCTAGATTTTAGAAATTCCACAGGACCGAGGGATTTTGTGGATGAGATAGATGCCTGGCCACAAATTTTCAGCTGTAGTACAAACATCCCCCCTACCCTTCTCTCCCCTCCACCCCAAAAAAAGTCCAGCAACACACTCCCCACAGTGGGGACCATCACAACTGTTTTTTGAAAACTAAAATCTGACATACAAAGGAAAAAACCCACAGAAAACCTAAGCCACCAGGATCTGCAGCTTTTCTCCTTTATGTTTTGTTTTGTTTGTGGGTTGTTTTTTTCTTTTCCTTTCTAATGTTAAACATGATTTGCTGCATGTCTTAGACTGAGACTTTTACAGTCTCCCTAAAATGAACTGACTCAAAAGCAAGCTTTTATTAACATGAGGGTCTGGAAGAAGTATATAGGGGCATGCTAGGCAGCATTAAAAAAAACCCACTATGGTGCCCTCTAAGTATACTCAGAAATTACATTTCAAGTTTTTTATTTTATTATTTAACCAGATTTTCAGAGTAGCCATAGATCTAATACCAAAAAAGAAGCCAACTATGCCAAGTTTCTTCTTTCTTTGAGTGCCTCAAATCAGAAAAGGAAAAAATTAAATAGATTTGCTTTACATTTAAACAAAAGGTAGATCTAATGCCAGCAAAAGTCACTACAGTATGTTTCCACACAGCACAATGACATACTATGCAGAGACATCCCTGTTTCTTCTTTCATTACCTTCTCTTGTAACGCAGCCACTGCAAAAGGCTGCATGCACAGCAAGCTCTCATTGCCAACTAACTCAGATCAGAGCTCCATGTAGATTATTTACCTTGCAGGGAAGAAATAACAACCCCCAAATCCTCAGTAACAAAGAAGAAGGGGGGAAAAACCCCCACAACCAAAAAGACACCTTCCCATCAGCAGGAGTCCTGGCATTGTTTGTAACAAGACTTCCAATCAGGCCCATAACAACATAGCTAGGACAGTCTGAGTGCAGTGAAGGACTTCTTCTTGGTTTCAAAAACAAAGAGGAAAACATGACTGCCTTTTCCTGACATTAGCAAGCCTCTTTTCTTCCCATTGGATTGTTTTCTGATAAGCCTACAATGAAGCAATTACCCCTTCCTATGGTACCTGTACATTCTTAACTGCCATTTTATCACAATTAACATCCCTAAGCAAACTCCTTGCTCAGTATGAAAAACAGAAACAGCAGAAACCCCAAGAATTTATCTTACTGGCAACTGACACCTTTAAGGTATAGCTTGGAGTGGCCGTGTCACTGTTGCACTGGCTTACTACACAAAAATTATACATAGAGACATTTCCCATATCCATTGGCCTTCAGTGGCTTCGCGTGTCAGTGGGGGATTTTTTTCAAATACAATCTTGCCATTTGTTTTACAGACCTGAATACCTGTGGAGCTCCCAGGCCCTTGGGACAAGTTATGATGAAATGAAGCTATTTGATCAGCCACAGAGAGCACAATAGTTCACTAAACAGATCAGCATTCTCTGATTGTCTTTACAGCAGAAGTTGGCAGTTGCTGTGTTCTAGTGCAGCAGCACAGATACTGCTTGAAATTATGAGCAAAAGTGTTTTTTTCACTACAACCAGCCAACAGACCAAGACAGTATCAAAAGCCACCTCTTGTTTTGTTCTGCTTTGTAATGAGATCAGCTTGATTGGCAATATACCACTATATAATGGATTAAGATTAGGTTACTTAAAACACTGGCTTCAAACAAAATTCTGCCTTGATGTTAAATAAAGAATCCAGAATGCTGTGTTAAGTGCTGCTTTCATACTGCAGGAAGCTGAGGTAATAGTTCTCAACTGTTTTGATATTACTCTGTACCCAGAACACACAATATGATTCAATACCTTGCTGTGAATCATCCCTCCTACAACTACCTCACAACATACATAATTTGTAATAAAAAATAACACCAATTAGAATAAAGAATTTGCCATTATTGTACCACAAGATCTGACACAAGTCTGCTATATCATATACAAAGGATTGTAATTTTAGTGCCTGAGCAAACCAAAAGAACTTGATTATAATACGAGTAACCTAATAATACACAAGTATATCCTTCAGTGTAAAAAAAAAAATTAATTTGCTTCTGCATAAACATTGTTTCCCTTAAATTTATGCAATCATAAAATTGTCTTAAGGAGACATTTAATTAAGACCTATACATTATTCCTATTTAAGCAGCTGTATTAAATTCACTTCATTAGCACCGGTCAACTCTACGTACTATCCTTCTACCAGAGCATGAAGCAAAAACATTCCTGTTCTGGAACCGGTACAGTTGATTCTCAGTTAAACACACCAAGTTCCACAAAAAATTCTTTTAAGTATTGAAAAACAATTCAGCCAGGTGAAAATAGGGGGGTTTATGTCAAAAACTCACAGTGAAAATGCTGTGAACTGCACAGCACTATTAAAGAGTTCTGACAGAACAGATGGGATGACAGAACAAGCCCAACTGGTCAGTAGAAGTGAAAACATAAATGACAGACATTCAGTTTTATTCTTTGAACTGTGACTTCATCCTCAAAACCTTCACAGTACTTGCTACATTTTAGAAACTCTTAATTTAGGCAAGAGGGGCTGTTGATTCACTGGCCATTTCACTATTACTGTTATTAACCAAGCCTTTTTTTTTGTTTCTGTCTATAAAGTAGTAAAAATGTTAATTATCAAATTAATAAGATTTATTAACAGCCAAGCTTTGTAAGTTATCTCTGCTGCACACAGTCATTGTTCATTTATAGAGGAAGGAGAGGAATATGTACTTTTGAAGAGTTCCTTAGAAGTATTTTCAGATTATTGCTGATTTCACTCAGGAGGGAGGGTAGAATTGCAAAGTCTTCTATCGAGAAAGCACAAAATGGCAGTATACATCCATTTAGAAAATAGTGCCAGTGAAATGTATCATCTTGTTTTCATATTTATGGAGGAATACAATTTAATACAGTGCTGATCTTCTGGATACCTGTGTATCAGAACACCTGGATGCCTGACTGGCAGGACACCCAACAGAAAAGGATTCCTTAGGACCTGTGCTACAACTGAAGTGGTAGGTTGAATTGTCTCTACAAATACCTTAGCGTAACAGTTGCTTAAGTTTTAAATTTCAAAAAAAGAAATCAACCAGTGTATGACACAAGCAACATACTAACAGAGCAAGTCAGAAGACCTAGTAGCAGTGAGCAGATATTTGCATATTACATATCATATTAGATAGTATATTAGCATATTACAATATTTGCAATTTCTCCAGAGCAATGCAACACATACCTACAATATTTTACTGTCTTCATCCTGTTCTCAACTATCACATTAAAATAGTAAAATAACTTACCACTGGGGTTAAAAGCCATGCAGCAAATAGGCTTCTCATGTGCAGGGAAGTGGGCCACAATACCATCACTATCAGAGTCCTCACTGACAAGTACCTGTGTAATATTAATAGAGACAAAAGGAAGTTAGAAACTGAAAATACTCTTAAGAGAAAATACCAACTTACTGATACAGGAATTGTTTTGTAAGATATACAGTGGTATGAGTTGGAAATACAACAGCATGAGAACTAACACAAGCAATCTTCTGTAATTTTTTCAGATAAAGACATGAGACATGCTCAAATAATCTACTATTATTACTACTAGAAAGGATTATGCATTTTATACCTGGACTCTATTTACTCAAATAAGGCAAAACATAAAAATATTACTGTTTTGCTACACAAAGTATTCAAGGCTGCACAGAAGTCTGCATGCAGTGCATCAGGCAGCTACACTGCAGGCTTCCATTGCTGCAGGTTTCCATTGCTGCAGGCTGAAGCCAGAGCTGTGACCTCTCTGTATGTCTGTACTCAAGGGCCTGTTACTCTTCAATCTATGCCAGGAGCTGTGCTGCTCCCTCAGCTCTCCTGTGGACAGGAGCTCTCACCCCACCCAGCTCAGCCACAGTGTGCAGCTGGAGGAGCATGAGCAGCAGTGTAATGCCAGTGAGGAGCAAACACTGCTCTCCAACTGTAAACAACACCTGATCTTCTCTGACTAATACAAAAAAATAATAAAATCTCATAAGAGAAAGAAAAACAATAGGTAGCACAGATTTTTTCAAAGAAAAGGGAATATTTAACTGTTGCATAAATCAGTATTTTCATTTGGAGGACTCAAAGTATAAATGGCAGACAAGTGGAAAAACAGACCAAAAACTCAAGTTGCTTTCCACCAGTGTACAAGAGGAACACAACAGCTTGCATCCTGCTAGTAAGTGGTGACGAACTTGAGGTATCTGGATTGCCAAAGGACAGAAGAAGTGCTAAGGACTGGGAGTAGGTAGGGAAGCAGCTGCATTGGAAAAAATGCTGCTACCAAGAATTTTCTCCATCTTAAAACTGCCTCAATGGAAATTAAATAACAGTGTTACAAAGGTTGGCAATCAAGACTCCTTAAAGAAATCATGTTTCTGGTGAACAAAAAAGCAATTCAAAGGTAGGAGAGAGTTTTCATAGCAGAGGAAAATTAAGAGGAAAGGGAAGTATATGGACTGAGCTCTGTGCTGTGGAACATCTTCTGGAGAAGGGGCCAAAGGATGAGCTTCTGGTTTCTCAAACAAAAGGTTATTGCAAGTTGGTAAAACTACTTGGACCAGTCAAAATGAAAGCTGACTGTGAAGACACACAAAAGGACCTCCAAACAGAGACAGTATTGCCAACGTCTGAAGGTATGAAAAGACATTCTTAGATTTATAGAAGAGAACCAAAAGATGCACCATCAAGTCACAAGCAAGAACTGAGGAGGTAATTTATGCCTTGGTTACGTCACGTTAAAGACTAAATTAAGTAAAACAATCAGAAAGCTCTGTCAGAAGAGCACTTAATGAAAGGGTTTCTGTGGCAAGCAAAAACCAGCTTCTTAATAAGACAGTGCAAAATTTCCTATTGCAAGTTCAAAATAATTTGTCTGCTGCTTCCAAAATAATCTGAAAGGTTTTTAATACTTCCTATTCCGAACAGATATCAGAATAATTTGAAGATATTTTTATGCTTCAAAAAGAGAAATCATCTTTAAATGTTTAAAGAAGTCACGTAATATGGATGAAGAGGCCTGTGCCTGCCTGACTTTAAATGTTCAAATTACTTGGCACTGTCACATAAGCACAATTATGGTTTTGCTTTTCGTTGTCAGCATTTCGTGCTTATTCCAGAACCACTAACCAAAAGGTCTGGAGATCTTCCTAAGAGCTTTTCAAAGAAACAGTGTTCTTTCCTCAGCCTATACAAACTGCACTAAATAACTCCTATACATCATCTTTTCACAGCTTCTGCTTTTAGGTAACTCGGTCTTGTCCTAAACATTTCCCTCTAATTAAAGATACATGATGATGAAGATGATGAAGTAACATCATAAACCAAGTTTACAAAAGAACTAGGAGGTTTTTTAAAACCTAGCCTGTTAAAAATACTTGATTTATAAATTTTAGGTATCTAAATCATTGCTAAAAAATTATATTGCATATTTCACATGCATCATCTTCTACAGACTGTAAAGTGGATTAATGGTGCTTTTAAATAAAACAAAACTAATGATAACTGCACCACTTTTATCATCCCTACATTAAACCCTTACTCAATAGCCAAGGAGCACTCTGGGTGGTAAGATGATCTTTAAATATTTTTCCTCTGGAAATAAGATCCAAGGTAAAAATGTCACAATGCTAAAACCTGTGGAACACCTCAGACATACCAATTTGAGAATATAATCTATTATTTGTATGCTCTGCATTTCCATGTTTTAAAGTGGTTTTGGTTTTGTTTGGTTTCTTCCCAGTCACTGCTTGAAATTCGCTTCCTGGAAAAACACCTTTTGTGTTTAACCTAAAAGGAGCTTTTCAAACTCTTCACATTTCAATGTAAATACCCAGCAGATACAGCAAAGCAGTCCTGATTTTGGTGTGATACAAGTGCATTGTGACAGAAATACAAGGAGGAAAAAATTATTGGCATAACATCCAATCAATCAAGGAAGGCCACTGTGAGCTTGTGGACCCTGCCTGCCACCATGCAGAGCTTTCAGCTCAAACTAGAACCTGTTTATCTCCTGCACTAGCCAAGTTTAAAAAAAAAACAAAACAGTTAAAAAACACAACACCATGGATAGATCAAATAGCACAGATTTCAAACAGACAAGGATGAGGACCTGAGCTGTATAGTGATGAAGAAGTATTCTTCAAGGCCTCTGCTACACAGACATCACAATTTTCAGAAACCATTTCCTGCAAAGGCCAAAGTAAAAGTCTCTGTCTGCAAAGGTGCTGGAGAGAACCACGTCCCTAGGGTAACAAATGGCATGTTACATCAATACTGACATTGTACAGTGGGTTTCTTTTGACCAGTTTAAGGTTTCTTGCCACTGAAAACAGCAGTTGGAATTTTTTTCTTGGAAGTCAAAACAGCGGTACAAATTGCCTCATAATGCATGCAAACACTGTCAAAAAACTTGAAGGAAGCAGCTCATCCAGCTTCCCGACACACAGGGCAGACAAAGCCCACAGGAATCCCAAGGCTGCAATTTTTTTTCATCCCAAACAGGCTTCGTTCTCCAAGGTAGTGGCCTCTAACCACTCTACTATTAAGAGTAAAAGACCTTATAAAGTCTCTTATTGAAAAAGGTCCATAAATCTTAGCATTACTCCTATAATTGCATAGTAACTGAGGTTCACAAGGATGCTTAAGCATCTTCCTTGCAGAGTTTCCCACCACTAAAAGTGACAAAAAAGAAACACTGAGGCTCTTCTACCAAGATGGCCTTGTAAATTCACACTCAGCTGGTTTCTGATGCCCAATTAGTATTTTATCAAGAGACTTGCAACATGTTTTTCACAAAAGGTGCACAGCAAACAGTTGGTAGCTGGACACACGGAGCACACACTGCAGCTCTCTCCAGCCCTATTAACTTCAACAGAGCCCTATAGTTGATTGAAGATGAATCAAGTCCTCCTTATCTTACTCTAAAAGAGAAACAGACAAAACACCTAGGGGATCATTGCATTTATTATCAGAAAATAGTGTTTGCTTTGAGGGCAAGAGATAGCTGAAGCCAAAGCTTTTTTCCCTGCTATGCCATATTTTTCTTCATTTGTTGTATTTTCCATACTGCTGAACAGAAGCCACTAGTAATTATGACTTCAATTATTTTCATCTTTAAAGGCAAATTACACCACTTATCCCAGTGGGGACATGTTTTTAAATAAAACATGAAAGTAACACAAATAAAAATGGACACAAATCTAATCAAGCGGGTCCTACTCTTAACAAAATTAAGAAAGAAGAATCCCATCATCGTAAAAACAAATAGGTTTGGCAATGCTTATAAAAATGAATAGTATATAATAAAGATTTTGCATGTACACTGAAGCTCCCCATTGATTTAAACAGCTGAAGTTAGGACCTTCAATTCCTAAGACGTACACACAAAAACTCACCCCCTCCATACTGACCCCCACAATTATTCTCCCCCAACTTATAGCTAAGGTCAAACATCAGTGGAAAAGGGCTAAAAGTGATAAATCTGTGGCATTAACTACTGCACTCCTTTTAATAGAATCCAGCATAAACTCAAACCAGCCTTGTGCTCAGCCTGAACCATTTATCTGAGACAAAAATGTCTTCTTGACAAAAAACAGATCTCCTTTAATAAAAGTAAGGCAGACAGTATTATGCTCTGAGGGAATCCTGTTGCTCTTTTTATACTTATATATAAAAAGAATTCTTCTGTAATACATGTAGATATAAAAAGTGAAGAAAATTGATGCCAAATATATGAGCATTAGAACATCAAATCAGCCTTTGTGAAAGCTGTTCATGTAAATAAAAGCACTGGTGTTAATGACCAGTGGAATTATGTACGTAGTCAAAGTTTTATTATTGAATATGCTTTCTTCTTTTAGCTTCTTTTTGCTTTAGACCAAAGTTTCACAACAATTCTTGCTCCTGATAAGCATCTTTATTTGGTTCAATTGTTATAATCTCTTTACCAAATGAAAATGAACTTTTGAAACTGCAGCAGTCTGCAGCTTTTTTTTCTGAAAATTCCTCTTTAATGCAATAAAAAGTTAATAGGGAACAGAAAAAAACACCAATCACATTTTAAAACATAAAAGATCAACATGTTATCTTCTTTTTCTAAGTTATTTTAAAAATATTTCCTCAAATATTTTCATGTGTTTTGGATGATCTGTGAAAGCAACACAATGATATCTCATCAAAAGCATTAAGAATTAAGTTTTATATAAATGGCCACATATTTCCCTGTCATCTAAATGTTAGATCTTTCACAGATTTACATTCAGTCACAAAACTGGTGACTTTTGAGCAAGGTCATTATTGCAGGCTACACGTGGGTGGCCTAGCTGATGAATTAATTAAGAATACTGAAACAAAGGTCGAAAGAAAATCATTTTTCTTTAAAACTCCAGTCACTGAAGTCCTACACATTTAATTCCAATTACTGAAAAAGAGGACATCTGTACTGCTTTAGTTTTATCCATTTCAACTAATTAACAGATTCAAATAAATAGTCATTACATTTAACTGAAAAGTTTGCTGACACTTCATTAGAAGGAAGTTTAAATAAGCACACAACCTTGTTAACATATTTTGGTTTACCACAAAGTTACTTGGGCATCTCGATAATTATTTTTACTCTCTTTACAAATATATCATGACAGCCAACTTCAATAATTCTACGCTCTCTTGCATTTCTTTAATTACTTCATCATTCAAATGTTCTTTAAGTGCCACCAATTCTAAAAGTAGGTGCTACCATATAAACAACTGCTGGGCATGAAATTTCACTACAGTATCTACATTCATAAGGTTTATTAAAAATATATTCCCTGCAGATTCAATACTGCAAGGTTATATTAGAACATTTATTTGGTCTTTAATTGTGTCTTTTTCAGTGGTATGCTAGCATTTCACCCTCTGCTATGGTAGCACAGTACATTTCATTAAACACATTAAGTTCCATCTCATGCTCCTTATGTTGGAGATCTCTGAAATGGCAAATATAATAAAAATTAGTGAAAACTTAAAGCTGCAGCTAGTCCTTCTGCCTTATGTCCAAAACATGTTCCTTAGTGGCAAATAAATCTGCATATTTGTACACATGCACAGAGCAGCTCATTCCACCTTTAAAACCTGAGCTACTATGTGCAAAGTAAATGGAGAAACACAGATATCATTACTGTGCAAGCCTTTGAGTATTTCTTTTTACAAAGTGTTCTCCCACTGGAAAAAAAGTTCTTATTTCTTCTTTAAAAGGATATGCTTGCTTGCCTTAAATTTACTATCACCTTCTTCCAGTTCCTTTCTCTTTTTAAAATAGTCATGTTATCTTAAAAATGTATTTTATTACTTGAAATTGTTTTATTTCATTACAACACCAAAATTCTTGGTCAGGTTGGACAGGTAGATAGAAATCTTTGTTGACCTTAAAGAGGAGGAGAACTCCTTTTACATTAGGACTCTGATTATAAGAAACTAATGTTTCTACTCCTGACACTACCCTCATGTACCACCAGGCTGACAACCTCTGAAAACCACGAGTGCACACACAAATAATACAAATACATTTACAGAGTTGCTCAGACAAATCTCTGATGCAAGGCTTTCCAACTGTTCATCCTGCCCAGAAAACACTTGGTAGGCATTACTAATCCCTGTGGTTTCCCAGGCAGATCAGGAAGATGGATGGCCATGATGGGCAACGCCATCCAGCAGCATCCCCACAATGCAGGAATGAAATATTCCACCCCAGACAGTTTCATCACAGAAGAAATCAGAAATGTCACCAAGTGTTTCTTATTTCCCACCTGGAATCTGAAAACTGAGATGGTCAGCTACTAACTTGTGAAAAATCACTGCCACAAAGCATCAAGAGAACTGGGACTAAAGTAGGTGACACATTCGTCGTATTGCTGAGCAGGGACAACTTTCTCCCTAGCACAGGCAATGCTGGACCCTGCAGCAGTCCATCTGGTCCATCCCTCCTTTATCTCCACCAAAGTGTCAGTATTCATGTCATTTGGATGACTATCAGCAAACCAGGTTGGCATAGTAGAATAAAATCAGTTCCTAGAATGAGGAAGAACCTCTGCAGCTCCAGCAGCCGAACTCACTTCAGACCAGCGGGATGTTTAGCCATGGGTTTAAGTTAAAAACAGGAGTAAACACAGTTGAGTCAGAGAACTAATTTTCTTGCTAAAAAGCTTTCATGAACTGAAGCTTCACTCAGTTACTCTATACAAACTAGCTAGTACTGCCCAGCCAGCACAAGGATGTGCCATGTAAAGCAGCATGTTGGTTCTTGCAGGTTTGCCTGCTGCTGCAGCACAAGCAGAGGGTCCCTGCAGGCTCCTTGGGCCAAGCCAAACCACACAGCTGCCAACATCAGAATCCACCCCGTTCAAACAAGCCTGTCAGCACTAACACTTGTGTTTCCACCTGGCAGTGGAAAAACAGCTGAAGTGATGGACAAGAACTCAGTGGGTTCTTGTGACTGTGAGCACACACAACACCCTTTCCATTAGGAGGCTCTTTACTGGGCTGTGCTGAGTGACAGTCTTTATTTAGACCATGTACAAAATGTACTTATTTTTAAATCAACTTCTTTCTAGACTATACTTTAGTAGGAAAAGATTGTTAAAAAGTTTTCTCTATCATGAAAACCTAACAATGCAAAAGAAAGATAACTTTATTTTTCCTGGAAAAAAAATAAAACGTTAATTCTGAAAGCAAGTCTCAGTAATCAAAATAAATTATTAATTTAATAGCATTTTAAAACTTCAGATCACAAAAATATGAATGGAAGACACACAATTAGAATATTTAACTTAGAGCCCCCTTCCCTAGAGATTCAAGACAAAAATTATTTTACTAGAACTGATGGCTTATTTATGTTACAGCAGCAGTATTTGGACAAGGCAAGTGTTATCATTTTTACAGCTACTTTTCCATGGTGCCCTTTAGGCCTGATAGCTCCCCACTATTGTTAAGGTCAGAGGACAAGTTCATAAAACCTCTAAATCATACATAATAAGACTTAAAAACCTAAGAGAGACCATTTTTTTTTCCCTAGGCCTATGCAGAAGATTCAAAGCACAGACAATGGCCATCAGAAATAATGACCACATTAAACAAGACTTCATGAGAAATTTATGAAGCAAAGTTTCTCTTCCTTTTTTTTTTCCCCTAGCAAAATACAAACAGCCAAAAGACCCTTTTTTTTTTCCAGGAAACAAAACCAAACCCCAACAGCCAGACTTATTTTAAGACCTGACTCTCAGATCTTAAATAAAATATGTTCTTTTTTCCATTCCCCATCGTTGTTTTTTTTCTCCTTTTTATTTTAATTTTGCAAGAAAAGGCCTATAATGTTATATGAACAATCCCCTTTCAATATAACATTATTTGGCTATTTTCTTCCAAAACTAATTCTTAGGAACAGCCACAGATCAGACAGTAAATCTGGTGGTTTTGTTTTGTCTGTTTTCCCCTCAGCTAAGAGGAAAAATAACTTGACTACTGATTTGTCAATGGTACCTTACTAACTCACCTGCAACAAACATCATAATGATAGGGGGAAAATAAGAAAAAAGAAATTGTTTTGTCTTTTTTAAATTCTGCAAATGTGAACATTAGTAAAAAAACTTTACAGAAGAGCTACAGAACAGTGAAATGCATGGGAGTCCTGCATAAACACTGATTCAAGGAAGAGACACTTAAAAATGAAATTATTGACAAAAAAGACATGAGTATCTTCTGTCACAAAGACCAATTTAAAGTTTGTGTGAAAAAGGTATGGATTCCTTAAAATATTCTCTTTCCTGACACACTGTACATTATTAGTAAAACAGTATATATGCCTCACAAAGCAGCACCAAGCTTGATTACATTTTAATTTTTAAATGTATGGAAATGTATAATCTTTTATACTTAATAACCAGCTTCACTCACCATCTTTTTTAAACTAGATGTCAACAATTCACCATGTTTCTAGACAATCACATTTTCCAGACACTTTATATAGTAATAAATAAAATCAGACTACATATACATTTCAACTGATCAGCATAAATCAACGTCAATTATGAACAAGTGTTGGAGAAACAAAATGTGACACTTCACACTTGATCTTGTCAAAATATGTTCTAAGGACAATACATATTTTGGCTTAATTTCAGTCCCAAAAAGGACTTGACCACAGCTGCTTGTGTCTGTAAAAGTTTTTCACCTAGCAAAAATCTTATCTCTTTTGCATTTAACTGAAAGTATAAAATTATATTGAACTATAAATACATCCTCCTGAGATTTTTGTGAAAATGAAAGCACGTTCTGCTTCTGTGCAAACTGTATTACCTGCCCTTCTGCAACAGTCTCTGTGTCAATGATAGTGATGATTCCAGGCACCAAAGGACTTCGGCGAATGTTGCTATGAGCTAAAATTTCCTCTTCTGTTGCTCCTGAAGGCAACGTCCCTGTCAGCTGAGTAACTACTTTTCCAACCATTGTAAGTCCAGTCTTTATCGTCTGTAAAAAGAAAAAGAAACAATAATCAATGCTAAGGGCTGTTTTGTGGATCTACCTTGAACTTCTTTACTCAACGCAATTAAAATAATTCCACACACCAGAAGCACACAAGACAAATGCTTTTATAAGTGATATTTAAGCTGCGAGTGGCTGTATGTAGCAGAAACATCTTGGAAAGATATAGCATCCTATCAAGTTGAAGTATCACATTTATTTTGGAATTAAAAGCTTCCAAAAAATTTCTGGAAAAAGAAATAGCAAAAAAAAAAAAATGTTGTCTAAATGTTACAGGTTTTTTCTTTCTTTAACATTGTTACTTAATTATTCCAAGAGGCAAAGAGGACGGAGTGTTAGAAGAATGAAGTGATGAAGCCAAGGTGGGTGCTTGTGGGGACACTGTTACAGAGAGAAATACTTACAGCCTCTCATGGGTAATGCTAAAATAGTTGCGTCTTCTGCACAAGTGCAAGGGACAAGGAATTTAACCATGGATAGACATGACATACACATTCGTCTCCCACAGCAATTATGCCTTTTGCAGCATTAAAACTGAATACGAGACTCAAACTCAGCAAAATTAAAGACACAGTCCTCGAGGTTCAGGAAAGGACAACTCTGTAGAAGACACACACAAACCCCATAAAAATAATGGGACTCCCCACAGTCTGCGTGTTTTCCAAACATGGGCCTGACAACATATTTACTGCAGCAGCTTTTATTATCTAATGATACTGAAGATTGTTCTTATGTTATTTTATTTGGAGAAAGTGGGAGAGAACACACAGTAGGAGAGATACAGGTTTAAAAAATCCAAACTACAACTTTAAATACTTTCTCCTTGAATCAAGGACTGCGCTTTATTTGCCTATACAGAATTGAGCAGATTTATTATGCAGTATAAATAAGAAATAGCAAAAGACATCAGAATGGAATGACACTATAACAAGCCAATTCTTAACTAAAAAGACAAGCTAAGCTGCCTGCTAAATTGAAAAGGAAAAAAACTGTACAGATCACAGGCTGAAACCAAGACGCAGCCACAAATCAATTGCAACTGCTTTGTTTAGTGCTAAAATCTCAAACTGCAGTGATTAGAAAACACATTAGTGTTCATCAATTAGCAGCCAAACGTTTGTTTTAATAATTCATAGGAAATGACTTACACAAAGTCTGTTAGTGTGTTGTCAGGAAAACCTCTGAAGGGCCAACAGAATTAGGCGCCACACTGTATTGATGGCAATATCCAGCCAGGAAGCCTGATTAACCTCTGAGATGCCTCAGCTGATGTACTTACTCCATTAATGCTAATGGAGATACTACCACTTAAAATCGAGCCATGCCTTTATCATAGGAATGTCTTTGGGGTTTAAAGTCTTTAGTAATATCCTGCCATTTGTTTCTTATTATTTCTCTTTATACTCAGATACAACAAATGAAAATGAAATTTTAGGAGGGCAAATTCAGAAGACTGAAAAATGTAACATCAAGCAGAGAATGATACCAGAGGAATAAACCTAAAATAGACCCACTGCCATCACATGAATGCATTTCAACTGACACTTTCCTTACAAAATCTGACAGGGCAGTTCTCTGGCCAATAGATCAAATAGTATAAACTACCAGTGCATTTTATACATCAGGAAAGAGACATCCTTATAGAAGTATTATATGGCAAATACTTCTGCAAGTTAAAAGACCAAGAAATGCAACTGACCTATTTTCAAAAGTATCATTAATATTCTACCTAGAGAAACTGGATGACAAAGTGCCAAGTATAAATTCACAGCTCTCTAGAAAAAAAATTAACGTGCTTATCTAGCAAAATGAATTAGTGTTCCATGTGAGAGCAGCCTGTGACTACAGGACTACTGAGAAGTAAGAGGTGCACAAAGATGTGGCTGAGGCCATTAGCTCAGAAATATCAGTGCAAAACCATTATGGCACTTCCTTCTTTGTGCTATGTGTATATTTGCAAAAACTTCTCTGGTAATCTTTAACCTTTCCCATGCCATATCAGCTGTCCCCTCTCTCCATTAAAGCTAATGACCTTGCTCTCACATAAGCTGTTAGTAGTCATTAAGAAGTTATCAGGTAACAAGAGAAAACAGATGCAGCCTTTGCTAAATCACTTTACCTCTACAGGATTAAAAGATATGAAGAAAGAATCAACTAAAGCAGTTATGAGGTGAGAAGAACTTGGTTTATAATTTGATGCTAGACATTGGACAGACCAAATACATTTTAAATGAAATAGGGTAAAGTTTGTACTGTCCCAGGTCCTCTGTCATCAATGGGAACCTGCCAGTGCATACTCAGTGCAACTTCCTTATATATAAAATTAAACTTGATTCAATTCCTTTCGTAAGCAATGATACACATTTAAACACTGTGCAAACACTCAAATTATTTGTGTGCTCACATGTACCCCATCTACTTAAAAAATAAAGACTGTTCACATTCATTCAAATATAAAGAAACACATTTAATTAAAATAAATGTATGCACTCATACCTCGTTTATCTGAAAAATAAGTACAACTTTAATTAGATGAGAAAATTGAAATGCACCATTCACTGCTTGTTAGGCTGTTTTGTTCCAACAAAGGTCTTGCATCCTTTTAGTGCCAAAACAATAGATTGTTCCTGTTTCTCATAATAAATACATTTTATATAATTCAGTTGTTTACAAATGAAAATTCTATAAAAGGCAGAAAGAGATATAGTAAAGATATGCCTTGGTAATCAACAATGTGAAAGCCTCAAGGTTAGTTTGAACAAAATGAACATACAATCAATTATATATTCAAGTTCAAGCTAAATGTTTGTTGAAATGCTAGTGTTTTGCAAAGATGTTTCCCTTTCCTGCTCTTGCCCATGTTCTGAAAAGAGGCAGGACAGGAAGGAAAAACCTATTAGGAAACTCATCCTAAACAGCCTGGCAAGTTTGACCACTAGGAACACGTTATGATGGGGAAGCTCTGCATGAGCACCACTTGAGCTGAGCAAACTGAAATGTAACTCACCAAAGGACATGGTGGGACCAAACCTTTCTTCTATGAGACACAGAAAAAAAACAAACATGTAGACATAAGAAAGTCTTTTCCTATGTCCCCTTCCTTGCTGCACCCAAAATGGACAATTATATAACAGTTTTCACATTTAGATGTTTATCTCAAACCAAGCACCTGAATATTCTCCCATCACTAATACTATTAAGTAATAAGGGGGTTTTCAGAAAGATATTCTACATCCATTTCACTGTGTCTGTTGCACTGGAGTGAAAAGGATCTTTATACCATAAGGAAGAGTATTTTCATTTTTCCAAATGCATCAATTTCTATCTTCTCTAAACATTAACCTAAATTGGAATTTTGACATCTGTATTTCCAGAAATCTTCTGCTTGGTCAAATTCAGAGCTTTTTAAAACATGGACAGATAGAAGGCCACCAAACAAGTATGGGGAAAAGAAAATAAGAGATTGAGCTGGAAAAGTATACCTGTGATTTTCCAGCAAAAGCAGAAAGCAATGCTCCTACAAGATGCCTCTACGGAAAAACAGTAAAAAGTTCAATGCTCAAGACCAAATCCTTCTAGAAATTACAAAGTTGAACTGGAAGATGACAAAAGGATTCTTCATAAAGTTACCAGAATAACAAGAGTTTTGGCACCAGTAAACAATACACTCCAATATGACCACAATTTTAACCTCAATATTCCTGACTAACAGTGCAGCTTCTGATTCCTACATTATTTGCTTAAGGAGGAAATTTATTTGCTGCATCAAGTGCAGTACCCAGAAGCACATTCCACTGAGGACAAACCTACTGGTCACTACCAGGACATTTATCATCAAAGGGAATATCATTCAAATGAATATTCTGTACTGCCACTGAAACCTTTTACAGAACATCTGAAAGGTAATTCTCAAAAGTGACCCTGTTGAGATTACTCTGCTCTCAGCTTCATCTTTCTCCTTTATGTGAAGGTTCTTTCACTTTCTTCAATAAGAAATTGGAACCTAAACAGAGAAAAGGCTGTAACCCAAGATAATCTGACAGAACAAGAACTTTTATGGAATCACTTCTGAACCAAAAAGCAGCACTGTAGGGAACAGAAAGGGACATCCACTTTCAAAAAACTAATACCTTTGCTGATCAAAGCAGATGAATTACAAACCATTGCAGGCAGATAAGATATAATAGCAGTAGAGCTTTATAAATGAAGACTGACTTAGGCAAGGAGTAAAGTTTATGGCGAGATAATGAAATGGACAAAGAGCAACTGATATTTGGAGCATGTATTTGCCAACAAGAAAGTTAGCATTTCTGTTACCAGAGATAAAAACTTGCTAGAGAGCAAGCCACGATTCAATGAAATCAGGAATAAACATTTGAGATGCAGTGTTGCATACTCAGATATGAATAACAAGTAAGAGTAAGGCTGAGATATACTCAAGATCCAAATAATGCAAATATTGAAAGGTGTATTAGTATTAACCTTAGCTATTACAGTCACATCTAACAGCCAGCTGAGAGTGAAAGCAACATGCTAGGCAAAACACCGAGCAGTACAGAGACTGTGTCCTTAGGATTTTCTGTTTTGCTATTACTTTATCTCCGTACAGAGACTAGCAAGCTTTTCTTTCCTATGATTATAAACACATTTTCTCTTCAGTACCATCCTTGGCTAATACTACTCTAGAGGTAAGGCCATCTTGGTCCTTACTGGCTTTAAAACCTAGTTAACTATGGTCTTTAGGGGTAAGGGCTATAAAAGATAACCTCCTCCTTTAGACATTTTTTTTCAGTCTGTCAAAAATATTTAAACAGAATAGTCTTCAATGCCCACTGGAATGCTTTGACAATCATTACATGGTTTAAGAAAGCTTTGGCTTTTTCTTCAGTGACAACTAGGCTTGGCTTTGGCAGCACAGTGATCTGTTTGTAAGGTTTTACCACATCTGACCATAACTGTGGCTGATCATGTGAAGCCAACTCGTTTTTCAAACTTATCTGTGCTACAAAAAAACATGCTAATGATGCTCAGATTTGAGGAGTTTGGGGAGATTTCTCCTACTTCCCCCCCCCCTTTTTTATTTTTGCTGAGGATGAAATTCTGCAGAGATACCAGCAAATTTCAGATGTCTTCAGAAGAACAGCAATTCAAGTTCTCCTCAACAATGTAAAAAACTGTGATTTTTCTCCTCCTCCATCCACAGTGAGATGGTGTCCAAAGCTATGCTGATGGAATATGTTTGGTTTTCTGTTGTTTTTACATTGGATGACATGCCCTGTGTCTCTCTTTGTGGGTTCTTGTAACTGTTGTTTTCTTCAGTGACACTGAGCTTTCTGCTCTGTGCTGTCATTTAATTCCTATTATTAGATTTGTTTTGTTGTGCATATCAGAAATGAAAAGGCTCGTGGTCACAATGAAACCTTGTAATCAGCACAAAGTTTGCCAGACAATGCCAAAACTCACTTTGCATGTGTGTGTGTGAGAAAAAGAAATTACTTGGCAAAATGCTCCAGTCAAGTCCTCAAGGAAAGGAACGGGGTGGGGGGCAATAGTAAAACAACAGTTCTGCATAATCTTTGGCTTGGTTAAGATTTTCCCAAGCTATGGTCTTCTTTTGATAGTATGAAAACCCAGACATTTCTCTGAAAAGAGGGATATTTTGTCACCTGAACTAAAAAACGAGACAATAGAATCGACATATAAACAGTCATTAGTAAACTCTAACCTTCAAAGAAAGGCAATTAACTAGCTGTGATACTGGGCTGTCATCCTTCAGAGATTAATGCATAATGCTAGTGTGACTGAGTCCAAAAATCACCAAGCCCTTGCAAAGCCAGGTTTCATGATACTAAAAGACTAAGAATTCACCATGTTGATTTCTAATCATGTAAACTTGAAATATTATGAATAGCCATTATACCAATCCATTTTACTATGATTTTCCTGTAACAGAAGTCACTAATATGAAAAGCTGTTCGTAACAAATAAAATAGGAACAAATATCAGTTCAGAAGGATGGGAATACTTTGTGAAAAAAAATGGGGCTCAGAGATGTGCAGGATCAGGACCACAGGCATGGTGCTAATGCAAGCATGTTTCTTACTGTGTTTTCCTCTTTTGTGAATGGGGGGGATGATGACACACAGTCCAATTCAGCAGGGAAACCTAATAATTATCTGACACAATAACCTTGCCCAGCAGCAGATGATGTACTCACTTTGGCAGCACTAATGACTGTGGCAGTGTAAGACTGAATGTTGTCTCCACAGGCTCCACCACGGGATTGATGGCATCGGATCAGCTACAAGAAGAAAGACAGCAACCAAGTAACTACTATTAAACTACACAAACCCATAACCCATAGCTCTTATTTATCATGTACAGTGGTGTGTTTTTTCCTACAAACAGCAAAAAGCCCTGCTGAGACACTTAACCCCTTTTTATAATCTTCTGGGTGCCACCCAGACTGTTGCGTTCTCAACTCCAGTTTTCAATTACAAGATGTGTAGTCACTAAGAATTCATAAACTTTGAAATGGTGGGATTTTTGGTCTGGCAGCAATACCACAAATACATTTAAATAAATATAATCAAAAGCTTTAGCCGTGTATATGTAACATTAAATATCTGACATTCTAAGAATCCAAATGTGGCTTTCCCCTCCTTTTTATGACTAGCAAGCAAAGAAATGACAAAGGAAAAGGGGCTACTTTAAACTTGACATTTAACAGATTAAAGGAATGTGCTTGGGGTTTACTCTGTATTGTTTTTCTTCAAAATTAATAAATCAAAACAAGACTTTTCCACCTGCCCAAAGCCGTTTTTGCCTTTGAACTCTAACAATGAAAGCTGTGCTTCTGACTAAAGAAAATGGCAAAAAAAAAAATAGATTTTGTTGTTTGTACACAGAACATGTTGCCTGTTTAACTTTGCTAGCTAAAAGAAAAGTAAAAATCACTGTAAGAGATAGTTGTCCCCACAGGATTTCCTTTTCTGCTTACATTTAAGTATCTAAATGAAAACAGTTAAACTGGGAAGAAAGGGGAAGTCCATAGAATATACCTGGGGAGACATAAGCCATTTAAACTCCTTTTGTGATACAATTATTTTGCTGATCAGTGGCTTGTATTTTTGGCAGCAGCACTTTTCAAATCCCAGGCTGACTGGGGAAGGTTTACAAAACCACAGAGGCATGGCACTAAAGGAAAGGCAGGCCTTCATCTGGAGAGAAATCAGTTGTGATGGAGAAAGTGTTTAACAGCAAACACATTTCTGAAGTCTCCCTCTCTGATAATTTCTGGTTCAGCTCTAGAAACAGCTATTCCAGTCACAGGTGGAAGGGAGAAAAAACATCTGCTTTGAAATAAAAATAAGGCATTAGAAGATGAATTTCAAGTTTTCAAACACTGGGTAAAAAGAGTGATAATTTTCTGTGCTTGGGATGTATTTTCTTCTTTTGCTTCTAGACATAAGAAAAAAAATATTTCACCACTTTCATTTTTTCCTAAAGCCCAACATTTTCATCAGAGATTTGAAAAAGTGGGCATTTTCATGCTCTGCCCCAGTCTACGAAGTGCATTGCTGCATTGTTTCAGACAAATCCACTGGCTCTGTCCAGACTCACTTTCCCAAAACAGAATTTAGGAATCCTCACTTGTCTGCCTTTCAAAAATGCCTATAATTAAGTGTTTTAAGCTTTTAAAAAGCAAAATCAGTGAGAGTGTTTTAAGCTTTTAAAAAGCAAAATCAGTTGATTATTGAGTGAACTCACCAAAATACATGTTCATAGCTGACTTCTCTGCCTGTGCTACTTACATATTTATGCTCCCCAAGTTAATGATCTTAAATCAAATATACAGAGTAAAGCTATGACATACATGAACACCAAAGCACAACCAATGTGGGTCAAAGATTAGGTCTGTCATCATTATGCAAGCCCTTTTACAACATCTTTTTCACACAGCTTTTCTTCTGAGACTTTCTTTTTTCCCCTCTCTATATACAAAAGCTAGGAGGAAATCTAGAACCAGAGTGAAGCAATTTTGCAATTAAACCTTTCCTTACCTTATTTTCTGCATAAGCAAGCCAACGGCTTCCAAGAGCAATAGGATTCATGTTTGGCCCTGGACAAGGATAGCAGCCTGAAAAGTTTTAAAAGACAACATTAAGAAATATCTTAATGACTTCTTACAAGGAATTTTATTTATTGCCAAGAAAACAAAAAGTCTAAACAAAACCTTTCAATTGCTAATATCACTCAGCAAATGCTTGCATTTTTGTTCCTAAAGATAAGACTGTGGTTAGATGAGATATTTTGAACAGTTAATTATGTGTAAATACTTGACTCTCCTTATGTTTGCATATTTTTAATGCCAATTTAATACAGTGGGGTGAGGAACACATTCAACAGTTTGACTCACTTGGTTCTGTATCTTCACATTTTAATTAATTTTACCTGACTTAACGTCTACCTATTGGTCAAAGGTTTCAATTTGCTTCAAGCTCTTCTAGATTTCTGTGGTACAAAAGGGTGTGTTGTGCTTTTGGTTTTGCTTTTAAGAACTCCGTATACAAGCCCCTAGACTCTGAAAATACTTTTGCACACACTTTGACTAGTGAGAATTTGTAATTTCTTCAAAATCAGTGGCAAAGTTTCTGTTGTTCACCTGCTTCTCGTTACTTTTGTATTACCATTAACAATAGATATATTCACATGCATAAAGATGAACATAAAAAGGAGAACCATCCCTAAGGATTAAAAGGTGAAAATACCTATAACAGAAAGTCACTGAAAGTAGCTGTGAACAAAAATATGCTAACAGGCCTAAAATTAATGAGGCCCATGGCAAAAGCAATTTTACATATGAAGTCTGAGTTTAAAAAAAACCAAGACCACAACAATACTGTGCGGAGGGGAGAGAGAATGGAGGGAAGGAGGGAAGCTATTAAGTGAATGTTAATCTCTGATTTCATCAGTCCTCAGGCTAATATACACAATTTAGTAATTCATATTCTCTCACTGTTTGGCCAAAAAAACAAAACATTTGAAAACATACAGACATGTGTGTCTCATTTAAAGTGGCCCTGGTTAGCTGATCCTGTGTCACAGGCAGAAGGAGCACAGAGATCAAGAAAACAGCATTTCAGAAGAACAAATATAACCAATAACTGCAATTTACTGCACAAAATCCTGCACTGCATTCTGAGATGCAACACACATTAGAAAGAAAAAAAAGACACAACTAGCTAAGCTTGTCTTTTCTCAGTCTCATGTCAGACTTTTGATACTGATCTGCCCACCCCACTGAGAAAATCAAACCTATTCACAGCCTTCTTTTTGCAAATAGCAGCATGTTTGCCGACAGGTCCCAAAATAGTCCCGAAAATGTAGTGAGGACAACAGAGTTTCAAAAGTTTAAGGGTATAATTTTCAATGCTTGCAAAATGGTCAACAAGGTGTGTGGGAGGGTGTTAACTATAGCACATAGGTGTATGTTTCAACTGACAACACCTAAAACCGTATTTGATGGCATTTGTTCGGCATGTGCAAAACCAGCTGCTATATTGTTTGTGCTGTCTAAGATAATCATCGGCATGTGCAAAACCAGCTGCTATATTGTTCATGCTCTTTATTTCACTTTTTAGAGCAGAGCAGCAAGGGTATTGCAAAACTCAGAAGATCATAGCAAGCTATTTCAAAGGTCATAAAGCAAGGGAAGGAGAAAAGCAGCAATTCATCCAATTAAATCCATCTCTGGCCAGGAAAGCAAAACCAAGTGAATATTTTGTAAGGCCTTATCACTGCCTTGATCTCAGGAAGGAAAACGAATTCTGAAGAGGTGATGCCACAATTGTTATTGCATTCCAGAAGTGCATAAAATGTGGGTAGCCAGAGCCTCTTAAGGAGCAAAGCAAGTAAAAAAAGGTTGTAAATAAAACCCTAGGTTGTAAATACAAATGTCTTCTTCCAATGACATTATAGATCAGGACCAGCAAGGTTTTAATGCTGACTTCTGCTTCCGTAATTCTTATCTGGGTCAGTAAAGAGCTAAAGGTAAAAGTAAAGGTCCCCTAAACTTTATTTACTTTTCTTCCCTATTATGTACAAAACACAGCATTAAAAGCTGTCAGATGACAGCTCTCATCATATAAATCTCTACAGAGACTTTGAATCAGTCACTTGCATTGCCCAAACTCTGCAAGCACCACGTAACATCCCTGCAGCAGAAAACAACAGGAGTCACAGCCAACAGATACACCATAATGACAAAACCTGAGCAATTCAACAACTCCTAACAAAACCAAAACATCTCACTTGGTAAGGGGGTTGTTCTCAATTACTCCAATGAACTGAAGTAAACGAAGAGCTGCAAAAAGCCTTCTTCTTCCAATTGAAAATTAATGAACTAAAAGAAGGAAAGTTTTCTTAGAAAATCTGCAGCTGTCTTCACCAAACCTACTGTAGGTAGTTTGTTCCATGAACTGGACTCAATCATACACAGCTCTGCACACAAATCAGCCAACTCTAATAATAACCTCCACAGAGGTCAACAATTCATCTCGGTACGAAACTCTACTCTCTGATACAAAAAACAGCGTAAAAAAAGAGCTACTTCCTCCCTTTCTTTTCTTTGCAAGTCTCTGCATTTTGGAAACTTGCAGCAGTGTATGGATAAACAAAGGGTTATACTTTATGGGAAGGAAAAGCAAATTGTTTTTCTGCTTTCCAAAAAAACAGCTGGAGTCAGCAGAACATCATCTACTGGGCAAATGAAAAGGCAGACAGCATGACCTACCAAGCTCAGCCATTCAATCGTTACCAGCCTGACTCTCTTAAAGATTAACTTCTCTTTCTACTAAACTTCAAAACAACTGAGGAAAAATCCATTCTAAGCAACAACAGCAGCAACTTTAGCATGTTTACAATAGTGATGAACATAATGAGAACGCAGAACTAACTGTCAAGAAGACCAAAGTTTCCAAGTTTTAATGACAGCATGAAGAGGTCATCCAAGAAAAGATCACTCCAGGAAAGTCCTTCCAAAAGTACAGCAAATCAAACAAGTACTACAAAACATCTGATTTTAGAGTAAGCTTTAATGGCACTATCACCCACAAAAGAATATGGGTGAAAACCTACTGGAAACTATTGAAAATGTTTTTAAGTATAGTTACTCTCTCTTTATGACGACACGCAGAGGAAATGCACTAATTTCAAGCTGTGAAAAGACAAAAAGAGAAAAATAATATTTTGAAAATCTTAAGTGCAAGTTTGTCTGCTAACTTGATTAAGTTCCTGTGCCCTAGAACTCCAACCAGTGCTGGCCTGAGCAATGCTCAGGCACAAAATAGGCTCCAGGCTCCATCCCAATGGGGACCTGGCTCCTTTCTTCCTAATGTCTGCATCTTTCCATTGATCTATGCTCCTAAAGAAAACTAAGACACTAGTCCTCATCTTCAACTGTTTTTATAAAGCTCACCCTCTAGGTTCAGTAATTACAGTGTGAATACACAGACAGCAGCCAAAAAGAGAGAAGCAACACATTCCTCTCCTCCCACTTAGCTTTTAAACAAACAGCACATTGGGAAAACACTGTTAAGAGGAACATGGCCATCAAGAGTCTGTGTCAGCTCGCATGGAGATGAAGCCAATAAATTACAAAACATCCCACTATTAAAGCTTGAACCATTTGTGCTGGGGGAGCCCTTCATCAACTTCCTCAGCTTTTTAATATGGAAATAACTTTAAAAAGAGAGATATATATATACATATGAGTATACATGTAAACTGAAAAGCCCAGTACATGATGGAGAGCTGGGGGCTAAACACTGCAGGGATTCCCCGTATCCATGAAAACTTGGCAGTTCAGTACTTCATATCCAAACACACAGTCTTTGAAACCCCAGAGGCAATTAAGAGCCTATAGGCATCCAAGCTTTCAACAGCTGTCCTTCAGGAGGACCAGAGCTGTGCATCTCTCACCCATTATACTGCTACAAGCCAAATCAACGCTCAGAGTTGTGTTCTATGTATGTGCCCTCTCATTCATCAAATAGGGATGATGCATGTGCTCTAAGGGACTCTGCATATATACCAAGTGTAACACATACCAACGTGACCTGTTTAAAAAAAATACGCCACAGAGGTGCAGGACCAACCCTTTAATACCCATTTTCCCCAGAATTGAGCATTATCATAGTTAAGGCTGTAATTTTTTCACATGATCCCTGAAAAACACCCTACACAGCCTGAATGGCTTCATTAATGAAGAGCTAAGGATGATCTTATCACGGCAAAGCATTCAGGCCTAAGCAAGCACTAGAAGGCCACGTTTCTCTCTAGAAAATAATTGATGCTTACAGTCTGATCTTGTCTAAGCTAAGTCAGAACTTATTTTCAGCTAACCGTGTCCTCTGAACAAAGCACTGCTCCTTACCCAGGGCACAGCAAGATTTCCTTCTCAGACCTCACTAAAACACACTGTGAAATGACACAGGAAACTGCTGCAAATTAACATGTGAATGAATAAAGCAAAAAGGGGATGAAAAAGCCCAATCAGAAGCTTCCAGAACATTGCTTTTCTTCAAACACATTGCAACATGCTTATGTTAAGACACTACCGGTTGTTTTTTAATTTCACAGCACATTGTCAGAACTTTTACTCTCTACACTTATTTTTGTAGTCCAGAAAAAGATTAAAAAAATAAAAATCTGCTTGTGATATTTTCCAGGCTTTCAACCTTTCTATCTCGACTTTGTTTTTACTTTGTAATGAAAACCATTTTAGTAAGTTTTTCTTTTCTGTCTTTTTTCTTTCTTTTTTTCTTGTCAGTTTAAGGAAATCTTCCTTTTCCCATTATTTTCACTGCTTTCTTTTTCCCAATTCCCGCTGATTTCCTCTGCACTGATACATACTCATATTTTTTGGTATTGACTTCAAAAATTATCCTCATAATTACTGAAACTTTTTTTTTTAATGGATATTCCACAACTTGTATCTCTGAGGAATGCATATTAGTGTTGTCCAGTTTTATTTTAAGCTATTTCTTTGAGTCTTTGTACAACATGTGGGCATGGGCAGGACTATTATAAAATCTTTTCAGGATTCTGTCTCTAATCTCAAACCATCACAATCTTTTT